GCAGGGATGACCAGAGACTGCAGACTTAGTACAGGAGATGACCAGAGACTGCGGACACAGTGCAGGGGATGACCAGAGACTGCAGACATAGTAACAGGAGATGACCAGAGGACTGCAGACATAGTACAGGAGATGACCAGAGACTGCGGACACAGAGCAGGGGATGACCAGAGACTGCAGACATAGTACAGGAGATGACCAGAGACTGCGGACACAGTGCAGGGGATGACCAGAGACTGCGGACATAGTGCAGGAGATGACCAGAGACTGCAGAAACAGTACAGGAGATGACCAGAGACTGTGGACATAGTACAGGAGATGACCAGAGACTGCGGACATAGTGCAGGAGATGACCAGAGACTGCGGACACAGTACAGGAGATGACCAGAGACTGCGGACAGTGCAGGGGATGACCAGAGACTGCAGACAGTGCAGGTGGGGATGACCAGAGACTGCAGACAGTGCAGGGAATGACCAGAGACTGCAGACAGTGAAGGGAATGACCAGAGACTGCTGACCTTTGGGGAGGGAGGGGGAGCGGGTACCTGAATTTGACAGGTACCCGCTCCCACTTCCACGGAGTTGCCTTCCCTCTTCTTCCCGGGCTGGCTTCTGTGACAGCCGGGTGCCCACTGCGCAGGTGCGAGAAGCGCTTCGCTTTGTGAATGGCCCGGTGCCTTCTGGGACCTTTCATGTGTCCCAGAAAACACCGGATCATTCACAAAGCGCAGCACATGCGCAGTGGGCACCCGGCTGTCACAGAAGCCAGAGCGGGAAGACTGTGCAGCGCTGGAGCGAGGAACAGGTAAGGCCCTGCAGGAGACAACAGCTGAGCGGGCCGGCCCGGTATTCTGACATGGTGGCCGCAAAAATACCGGACCGGCCGCTTTATATTCGCTCCATAAGACGCACTGACATTTTCCCCCCTTTTTGGGGGGGGGGAAAGTGCGTCTTATGGCGAATTCGCGGAATAAATTCGATTCGAGTCAAATATATTCGCTGCGAATTTAACTTATAAAAAGGGTATTTCTAGGCTTCAGAGAGCCTTTATATTAGTGCAGAACACTGTACCTTTAATTTAAATGCCCTTGGAGTCTGCTGGGGAAGAGAAATAATACTGTCAGTCAGTATGACATGCAGATGAGTGCCGTCGATCTTAGAATCACCGCACACTTCACTCATTTGGGCAGTCACGGGGCCAAAACCAGAGTGTGGAGCCACAGTGTGGCGGTGGAGGCAGCAGCAATGGGAGGCCATACAGCACCCTATGACAAAAATGGAACCCACCAGCAGTGTGAGGAGACCTGAAAGTGGCACATGGCAGAGTGTGGCGATGGAGACAGCAGCAATGGGAGGCCGTACAGGGACCCATGAGACACTCTGGACCTGGCAGCAGCATGAGGAGGCGGTACAGGGGCCCATGACAGATTACGGGCCTGGCAGCAGCATGAGGAGTCGGTACAGGGGCCCATGGCAGATAACGGGCCTGGCAGCAGCAATGGGAGCCCGTAATCTGCCAGCACCCTATGACAAAATGGAACCCACCAGCAGTGTGAGGAGACCTGAAAGTGGCACATGGCAGAGTGTGGCGATGGAGACAGCAGCAATGGGAGAGGCCGTACAGGGACCCATGACACACTCTGGACCTGGCAGCAGCATGAGGAGGCGGTACAGGGGCCCATGGCAGATTACGGGCCTGGCAGCAGCAATGGGAGGCCCGTAATCTGCCAGCACCCTATGACAAAATGGAACCCACCAGCAGTGTGAGGAGACCTGAAAGTGGCACATGGCAGAGTGTGGCGATGGAGACAGCAGCAATGGGAGGCCGTACAGGGACCCATGAGACACTCTGGACCTGGCAGCAGATGAGGAGGCGGTACAGGGGCCCATGACAGATTACGGGCCTGGCAGCAGCATGAGGAGTCGGTACGGGGGGCCCATGGCAGATTATGGGCCTGGCAGCAGCAATGGGAGGGTACAGGGACCCGTACACATCTGCTGGCAGCAGCCTAGGAGGCGGTACAGGGGCCCATGACAGAACCCTGGCAGCAGCATGAGGAGACGGTACAGGGGCACATGGCAGATTGGCGGCCTGGCAGCAGCAATGGGAGGCCGTACAGGGACCCATGACACACTCTGGACCTGGCAGCAGCATGAGGAGGCGGTACAGGGGCCCATGACAGATTACGGGCCTGGCAGCAGCATGAGGAGTCGGTACGGGGGCCATGGCAGATTACGGGCCTGGCAGCAGCAATGGGAGGCCGTACAGGGCACCCTATGACAAAATCTGGACCAGCAGTGTGAGGAGACCTGAAAGTGGCACATGGCAGAGTGTGGCGATGGAGTACAGCAGCAATGGGAGGCCGTACATGACATGATTCTGGCCTGGCAGCAGCATGAGGAGTCGGTACGGGGCCCATGGCAGATTACGGGCCTGGCAGCAGCAATGGGGAGGCCCGTAATCTGCCAGCACCCTATGACAAAATGGAACCCACCAGCAGTGTGAGGAGACCTGAAAGTGGCACATGGCAGAGTGTGGCGATGGAGACAGCAGCAATGGGAGGCCGTACAGGGACCCATGACACACTCTGGACCTGGCAGCAGCATGAGGAGGCGGTACAGGGGCCCATGACAGATTACGGGCCTGGCAGCAGCATGAGGAGTCGGTACGGGGGCCCATGGCAGATTACGGGCCTGGCAGCAGCAATGGGAGGCCCGTAATCTGCCAGCACCCTATGACAAAATGGAACCCACCAGCAGTGTGAGGAGACCTGAAAGTGGGCACATGGCAGAGTGTGGCGATGGAGACAGCAGCAATGGGAGGCCGTACAGGGACCCATGACACACTCTGGACCTGGCAGCAGCATGAGGAGGCGGTACAGGGGCCCATGCAGATTACGAAGCAGCAGCAAAATGGGAGGCCCGTAATACAGCAGCAGGCCTACCCTATGACAAAATGGAGGAACACCAGCAGTGTGAGGAGGCCTGATTCATGGCGGTGGCACATGGCAGAGTGTTGCGATCCAGACTGGACAGCAGCAATGGGAGGCCCGTACAGGGACCCATGACACACTCTGGACCTGGCAGCAGCATGAGGAGGCGGTACATGGGGCCCATGACAGATTACGGGCCTGGCAGCAGCATGAGGAGGCCCGTCGGTACGGGGGCCCATGCAGATTACGGGCCTGGCAGCAGCAATGGGAGAGGCCCCGTAATCTGCCAGCACCCTATGACAAAATGGAACCCACCAGCATGTGAGGAGACCTGAAAGTGGCACATGGCAGAGTGTGGCGATGGAGCAGCAGCAATGGAGGCCGTACAGGGACCCATGACACTTTCTGGACCTGGGGGGCCCGTTACAGAGGGCCCATGCAGCATGGATACCCACGCTACTGGACGAGGGGCCCCTGACAAGAGGCACATGCCAGTGGCAGACAGCATGAGGAGGGTACAGGGACCCATGCTAGTTGGGGCAGCCAAAGGTCAAGTTACGGCCCAGTAGTCAAGGCGGTACGGGGGCCCATCTGGCAGCAGCAATGGGAGGCAGGGTGCGTCCAATCTGCCAGCACCCTATGTTGTTTGAGGTCCTGCTCCAGTCCACCTGATGCTGAGCTGAGGGACCTGAAAGTTGGCTCACTGCGCTGAGTGAAGGCGATGGAGACAGCAGCAATGAGGAGGCCGTACTGGGGACCCATGCTCCTACCACCCCACCCCTCCCCTGCAGCAGCATGAGGACGCGAGCGCACAGGGCCCCATGTCTGAGATTACGTTGGCGCAGAAAGGCAGAGACCAATGGGAGGCTACATAGGCCAGGTTTTTTATAGTACTTTATGGCCTCCCTCTCAGCAGTGTGAGGAAAAATGGCCACCACCATTTTTGAACGGTAGCGAGGGTCCAACAAGGTGGACAGCCAAAAAAAGCAGCATCCCTGTCTGATGGAAATTATTATATGGCTGTCGCTACGCAAGCAACCGAGCATGCTATGGGCCAGACCTTGTGTGCCAAGGAATGTGAGGGACTCCCTGCCTCCATCTCCAGCAGCATACTGGGAGGCCGTACAGGGACCCATGTGCGTCTGGGTCCTCTGTCTCCTGGCAGCCTCCTCTAGGATGCTCCTGCTCCTCCCTCCTGTCCGCAGATTGGAAAAACCTGGCAGCAGCAATAAATTCCTGAGCACCGTAATCCTCCCACCACCCTATGACAAAATGGAACCCCCCACAGGGTGATGTGAGCGTTGAGATCTGTGCGCCATGGCAGAGTGTGGCCATGGAGACACAGCATTTGGAGGCCGTACAGGGACCCATGAGGATGACGTCGTGGACCTGGACCCAGCAGTCCTGAGGACTCACGAATAGCGTGGCCCATGGCAATTAGGGCCTGGCAAGCAGCATGGGAGGTAATCTGCCAGTCACCCGCATGAGCAGCTGAAAGTGGCACATGGCAGAGTGCTTATGGCTGACATCTAAGTTACACAGGGGAGTACCTTTATCCGCTTGTAACATCAGGAAAGTGTGCACATGGCAGAGTTTCGCTGTTCGTAAAGGCAGTTAACATATGGGAGGCCGTTAATTCCACCTTGTTGACAACGACCTGGCAGCAGCATGAGGAGTCGGTACGGGGGCCCATGGCAGATTACGGGCCTGGCAGCAGCAATGGGAGGCCCGTAATCTGCCAGCACCCTATGACAAAATGGAACCCACCAGCAGTGTGAGGAGACCTGAAAGTGGCACATGGCAGAGTGTGGCGATGGAGACAGCAGCAATGGGAGGCCGTACAGGGACCCATGACACACTCTGGACCTGGCAGCAGCATGAGGAGGCGGTACAGGGGCCCATGACAGATTACGGGCCTGGCAGCAGCATGAGGAGGCGGTACGGGGGCCCATGGCAGATTACGGGCCTGGCAGCAGCAATGGGAGGCCCGTAATCTGCCAGCACCCTATGACAAAATGGAACCCACCAGCAGTGTGAGGAGACCTGAAAGTGGCACATGGCAGAGTGTGGCGATGGAGACAGCAGCAATGGGAGGCCGTACAGGGACCCATGAGACACTCTGGACCTGGCAGCAGCATGAGGAGGCGGTAAAGGGGCCCATGACAGATTACGGGCCTGGCAGCAGCATGAGGAGGCGGTACAGGGGCCCATGGCAGATTAGACGGGCCTGGCAGCAGCAATGGGAGGCCGTAATAATCTGCCAGCACCCTATGACAAAATGGAACCCACCAGCAGTGTGAGGAGACCTGAAAGTGGCACATGGCAGAGTGTGGCGATGGAGACAGCAGCAATGGGAGGCCGTACAGGGACCCATGACACACTCTGGACCTGGCAGCAGCATGAGGAGGCGGTACAGGGGCCCATGGCAGATTACGGGCCTGGCAGCAGCAATGGGAGGCCCGTAATCTGCCAGCACCCTATGACAAAAAAATGGAACCCACCAGCAGTGTGAGGAGACCTGAAAGTGGCACATGGCAGAGTGTGGCGATGGAGACAGCAGCAATGGGAGGCCGTACAGGGACCCATGACAGATTACTGGACCTGGCAGCAGCATGAGGAGGCGGTACAGGGGCCCATGGCAGATTACGGGCCTGGCAGCAGCAATGGGAGGCCCGTAATCTGCCAGCACCCTATGACAAAATGGAACCCACCAGCAGTGTGAGGAGACCTGAAAGTGGCACATGGCAGAGTGTGTGGCGATGGAGACAGCAGCAATGGGAGGCCGTACAGGGACCCATGACACACTCTGGACCTGGCAGCAGCATGAGGAGGCGGTACGGGGGCCCATGGCAGATTACGGGCCTGGCAGCAGCAATGGGAGGCCCGTAATCTGCCAGCACCCTATGACAAAATGGAACCCACCAGCAGTGTGAGGAGACCTGAAAGTGGCACATGGCAGAGAGTGTGGCGATGGAGACAGCAGCAATGGGAGGCCGTACAGGGACCCATGACACACTACTGGGCCTGCAGCAGCATGAGGAGGCGGTACAGGGGCCCATGACAGATTACGGGCCTGGCAGCAGCAATGGGAGGCCCGTAATCTGCCAGCACCCTATGACAAAATGGAACCCACCAGCAGTGTGAGGAGACCTGAAAGTGGCACATGGCACATGGCAGAGTGTGGCGATGGAGACAGCAGCAATGGGAGGCCGTACAGGGACCCATGACACACTACGGGACCTGGCAGCAGCATGAGGAGGCGGTACGGGGGCCCATGGCAGATTACGGGCCTGGCAGCAGCAATGGGAGGCCCGTAATCTGCCAGCACCCTATGACAAAATGGAACCCACCAGCAGTGTGAGGAGACCTGAAAGTGGCACATGGCAGAGTGTGGCGATGGAGACAGCAGCAATGGGAGGCCGTACAGGGACCCATGACACACTCTGGACCTGGCAGCAGCATGAGGAGGGCGGTACAGGGGCCCATGGCAGATTACGGGCCTGGCAGCAGCAATGGGAGGCCCGTAATCTGCCAGCACCCTATGACAAAATGGAACCCACCAGCAGTGTGAGGAGACCTGAAAGTGGCACATGGCAGAGTGTGGCGATGGAGACAGCAGCAATGGGAGGCCGTACAGGGACCCATGACAGACTACTGGACCTGGCAGCAGCATGAGGAGGCGGTACAGGGGCCCATGACAGATTACGGGCCTGGCAGCAGCATGCAGATTGGCAGATTACGGGCCTGGCAGCAGCAATGGGAGGCCCGTAATCTGCCAGCACCCTATGACAAAATGGAACCCACCAGCAGTGTGAGGAGACCTGAAAGTGGCACATGGCAGAGTGTGGCGATGGAGACAGCAGCAATGGGAGGCCGTACAGGGACCCATGACACACTCTGGACCTGGCAGCAGCATGAGGAGGCGGTACAGGGGCCCATGGCAGATTACGGGCCTGGCAGCAGCAATGGGAGGGCCCGTAATCTGCCAGCACCCTATGACAAAATGGAACCCACCAGCAGTGTGAGGAGACCTGAAAGTGGCACATGGCAGAGTGTGGCGATGGAGACAGCAGCAATGGGAGGCCGTACAGGGACCCATGACAGACTCTGGACCTGGCAGCAGCATGAGGAGGCGGTACAGGGGCCCATGACAGATTACGGGCCTGGCAGCAGCATGAGGGGCGGTACAGGGGCCCATGGCAGATTACGGGCCTGGCAGCAGCAATGGGAGGCCCGTAATCTGCCAGCACCCTATGACAAAATGGAAACCCACCAGCAGTGTGAGGAGACCTGAAAGTGGCACATGGCAGAGTGTGGGCGATGGAGACAGCAGCAATGGGAGGCCGTACAGGGACCCATGACACACTCTGGACCTGGCAGCAGCATGAGGAGCGGTACAGGGGCCCATGGCAGATTACGGGCCTGGCAGCAGCAATGGGAGGCCCGTAATCTGCCAGCACCCTATGACAAAATGGAACCCACCAGCAGTGTGAGGAGACCTGAAAGTGGCACATGGCAGAGTGTGGCGATGGAGACAGCAGCAATGGGAGGCCGTACAGGGACCCATGACAGATGACACTACTTGGGGACCTGGCAGCAGCATGAGGAGGCGGTACAGGGGCCCATGCAGATTACGGGCCTGGCAGCAGCAATGGGAGGCCCGTAATCTGCCAGCACCCTATGACAAAATGGAACCCACCAGCAGTGTGAGAGAGACCTGAAAGTGGCACATGGCAGAGTGTGGCGATGGAGACAGCAGCAATGGGAGGCCGTACAGGGACCCATGACAGACTACTGGACCTGGCAGCAGCATGAGGAGGCGGTACAGGGGCCCATGGCAGATTACGGGCCTGGCAGCAGCAATGGGAGGCCCGTAATCTGCCAGCACCCTATGACAAAATGGAACCCACCAGCAGTGTGAGGAGACCTGAAAGTGGCACATGGCAGAGTGTGGCGATGGAGACAGCAGCAATGGGAGGCCGTACAGGGACCCATGACAGACTGGATTACTGGGCCTGGGCAGGCATGCAGGAGGCGGGGGGGGTACAGGGGCCCATGGCAGATTACGGGCCTGGCAGCAGCAATGGGAGGCCCGTAATCTGCCAGCACCCTATGACAAAATGGAACCCACCAGCAGTGTGAGGAGACCTGAAAGTGGCACATGGCAGAGAGTGTGGCGATGGAGACAGCAGCAATGGGAGGCCGTACAGGGACCCATGACAGATTACGGGCCTGGCAGCAGCATGAGGAGGCGGTACAGGGGCCCATGGCAGATTACGGGCCTGGCAGCAGCAATGGGAGGCCCGTAATCTGCCAGCAGCCAGCAATGGGAGGCCCTATGACAAAATGGACAAAATGGAACCCACCAGCAGTGTGAGGAGACCTGAAAGTGGCACATGGCAGAGTGTGGCGATGGAGACAGCAGCAATGGGAGGCCGTACAGGGACCCATGACACACTCTGGACCTGGCAGCAGCATGAGGAGGCGGGCGGTACAGGGGCCCATGGCAGATTACGGGCCTGGCAGCAGCAAGGGGGAGGCCCGTAATCTGCCAGCACCCTATGACAAAATGGAACCCACCAGCAGTGTGAGGAGACCTGAAAGTGGCACATGGCAGAGTGTGGCGATGGAGACAGCAGCAATGGGAGGCCGTACAGGGACCCATGACAGATTACTGGGCCTGGCAGCAGCATGAGGAGGCGGTACATGAGGAGGGTACGGGGGCCCATGGCAGATTACGGGCCTGGCAGCAGCAATGGGAGGCCCGTAATCTGCCAGCACCCTATGACAAAATGGAACCCACCAGCAGTGTGAGGAGACCTGAAAGTGGCACATGGCAGAGTGTGGCGATGGAGACAGCAGCAATGGGAGGCCGTACAGGGACCCATGACAGATTACTGGACCTGGCAGCAGCATGAGAGGCGGTACAGGGGCCCATGGCAGATTACGGGCCTGGCAGCAGCAATGGGAGGCCCGTAATCTGCCAGCACCCTATGACAAAATGGAACCCACCAGCAGTGTGAGGAGACCTGAAAGTGGCAATGGCAGAGTGTGGCGATGGAGACAGCAGCAATGGGAGGCCGTACAGGGACCCATGACAGATTACGGGCCTGGCAGCAGCATGAGGAGGCGGTACAGGGGCCCATGGCAGATTACGGGCCTGGCAGCAGCAATGGGAGGCCCGTAATCTGCCAGCACCCTATGACAAAATGGAACCCACCAGCAGTGTGTGAGGAGACCTGAAAGTGGCACATGGCAGAGTGTGGCGATGGAGACAGCAGCAATGGGAGGCCGTACAGGGACCCATGACAGACTACTGGACCTGGCAGCAGCATGAGGAGGCGGTACAGGGGCCCATGGCAGATTACGGGCCTGGCAGCAGCAATGGGAGGCCCGTAATCTGCCAGCACCCTATGACAAAATGGAACCCACCAGCAGTGTGAGGAGACCTGAAAGTGGCACATGGCAGAGTGTGGCGATGGAGACAGCAGCAATGGGAGGCCGTACAGGGACCCATGACAGATTACGGGCCTGGCAGCAGCATGAGGAGGCGGTACAGGGGCCCATGACAGATTACGGGCCTGGCAGCAGCAAGGGGTACAGGGGCCCGATAATCTGCCAGCACCCTAATCTGATGACAAAATGGAACCCACCAGCAGTGTGAGGAGACCTGAAAGTGGCACATGGCAGAGTGTGGCGATGGAGACAGCAGCAGCAATGGGAGGCCGTACAGGGACCCATGACAGACTCGGGACCTGGCAGCAGCATGAGGAGGCGGTACAGGGGCCCATGGCAGATTACGGGCCTGGCAGCAGCAATGGGAGGCCCGTAATCTGCCAGCACCCTATGACAAAATGGAACCCACCAGCAGTGTGAGGAGACCTGAAAGTGGCACATGGCAGAGTGTGGCGATGGAGACAGCAGCAATGGGAGGCCGTACAGGGACCCATGACAGATTACTGGGCCTGGCAGCAGCATGAGGAGGCGGTACAGGGGCCCATGGCAGATTACGGGCCTGGCAGCAGCAATGGGAGGCCCGTAATCTGCCAGCACCCTATGACAAAATGGAACCCACCAGCAGTGTGAGGAGACCTGAAAGTGGCACATGGCAGAGTGTGGCGATGGAGACAGCAGCAATGGGAGGCCGTACAGGGACCCATGACAGATTACGGACCTGGCAGCAGCATGAGGAGGCGGTACAGGGGCCCATGACAGATTACGGGCCTGGCAGCAGCAATGGGAGGCCCGTAATCTGCCAGCACCCTATGACAAAATGGAACCCACCAGCAGTGTGAGGAGACCTGAAAGTGGCACATGGCAGAGTGTGGCGATGGAGACAGCAGCAATGGGAGGCCGTACAGGGACCCATGACAGACTCTGGACCTGGCAGCAGCATGAGGAGGCGGTACAGGGGCCCATGGCAGATTACGGGCCTGGCAGCAGCAATGGGAGGCCCGTAATCTGCCAGCACCCTATGACAAAAAATGGAACCCACCAGCAGTGTGAGGAGACCTGAAAGTGGCACATGGCAGAGTGTGGCGATGGAGACAGCAGCAATGGGAGGCCGTACAGGGACCCATGACAGATTGGACCTGGCAGCAGCAGCAGGAGGCGGTACAGGGGCCCATGGCAGATTACGGGCCTGGCAGCAGCAATGGGAGGCCCGTAATCTGCCAGCACCCTGACAAAATGGAACCCACCAGCAGTGTGAGGAGACCTGAAAGTGGCACATGGCAGAGTGTGGCGATGGAGACAGCAGCAATGGGAGGCCGTACAGGGACCCATGACAGACTCTGGACCTGGCAGCAGCATGAGGAGGCGGTACAGGGGCCCATGGCAGATTACGGGCCTGGCAGCAGCAATGGGAGGCCCGTAATCTGCCAGCACCCTATGACAAAATGGGAACCCACCAGCAGTGTGAGGAGACCTGAAAGTGGCACATGGCAGAGTGTGGCGATGGAGACAGCAGCAATGGGAGGCCGTACAGGGACCCATGACAGATTACGGGCCTGGCAGCAGCATGAGGAGGCGGTACAGGGGCCCATGACAGATTACGGGCCTGGCAGCAGCAGCAGCATGAGGAGGCGGTACAGGGGCCCATGGCAGATTACGGGCCTGGCAGCAGCAATGGGAGGCCCGTAATCTGCCAGCACCCTATGACAAAATGGAACCCACCAGCAGTGTGAGGAGACCTGAAAGTGGCACATGGCAGAGTGTGGCGATGGAGACAGCAGCAATGGGAGGCCGTACAGGGACCCATGACAGATTACTGGCCTGGCAGCAGCATGAGGAGGCGGTACAGGGGCCCATGGCAGATTACGGGCCTGGCAGCAGCAATGGGGCCCGTAATCTGCCAGCACCCTATGACAAAATGGAACCCACCAGCAGTGTGAGGAGACCTGAAAGTGGCACATGGCAGAGTGTGGCGATGGATGGAGACAGCAGCAATGGGAGGCCGTACCAGGGACCCATGACAGATTACGGGCCTGGCAGCAAGCATGAGGAGGCGGTACAGGGGCCCATGGACAGATTACGGGCCTGGCAGCAGCAATGGGAGGCCCGTAATCTGCCAGCACCCTATGACAAAATGGAACCCACCAGCAGTGTGAGGAGACCTGAAAGTGGCACATGGCAGAGTGTGGCGATGGAGACAGCAGCAATGGGAGGCCGTACAGGGACCCATGACAGATTACTGGACCTGGCTGCAGCATGAGGAGGCGGTACAGGGGCCCATGACAGATTACGGGGCCTGGCAGCAGCAATGGGAGGCCCGTAATCTGCCAGCACCCTATGACAAAATGGAACCCACCAGCAGTGTGAGGAGACCTGAAAGTGGCACATGGCAGAGTGTGGCGATGGAGACAGCAGCAATGGGAGGCCGTACAGGGACCCATGACAGATTACGGGCCTGGCAGCAGCATGAAGGCGGTACAGGGGCCCATGACAGATTACGGGCCTGGCGCAAGATTACGGGCCTGGTCCAGCAGCAATCTGAGTCCCCCGTAATCTGCCAGCACCCTATGACAAAATGGAACCCTGACCAGCAGTGTCTGTGAGACCTGAAAGTGGCACATGGCAGAGTGTGGCGATGAGTAACAATTCTGGCCCCCTGGCCACGCTTGACTTTCTGGCCACATAGTCGACATACGGCTACGTTTACTTCCTGTGCGGCTTGACGAAAAATTTGCCAGGTCCGCCGAGTAGGAAAATTTTGCCCCCCGCTACTCCCTCACTGGCAATGACTGCTACTTCCTCCGTAACACACTGTGCACCAGTAACTGGCCTGTGGTCCCTGCAGTGGAGCTGTGTCCTCTACTGGTACTACAATGTGCCGTTTGCCTGAGTGACACTGCTGCGACCCTGCTGCCATCCTGGGCAACCCACCGACAATTTTTGCTCGCTGCCAATTCTGGCACCTGAGTAACTTCTCCCTGATGAATGAACCGGAAGCAATGTCCCTGAGTGACGACTGTGAGGCTGCAAAAGCGATCTGTGCCCATCATCATCAATTAGTGGTCTCTGAGTAACAATTCTGTGTCCCCTGAGTAACAATTCTGTGTCCCCTGAGTAACAATTCTGTGCCCCCTCGGCTTCTGTGTGGGTCTGAACAGACCTGTCTCTAGACCGGCTACCGAGCCACTCTCCTCGTCCCAGTAACAACTCTCTTCGCCTGGCTGCTGAAGAGGCGGATGTCTGTCCCCCCGTTCCTGACTGTGCCCTCTGTTAGCTCTTCCTCACTGTAACAGTGGGGCTGAGCCCACAGTAACGATACTGTGCTCCCTGAGGAAACAAAGGACTGGGCAGGTAGTAGGACAACTGTGTTTCAGTAACAATTTGCTCCCCGGCCATGCCAAGTAACAATTCTGTGTCCCTGACGTACCCACCGACTGTTGGCTGAGTAAGGTGTCAGAGGTGACCTGGGAAACAGACGACCGAGTAACAATTCGATGACGGCAGGGTTGTCTGTGGATAACACGTCCCGCTGGATGACACTGGGAGCACTGGCCTCTGGCTGCAATTCTGTGCTCCCTCGAGTAACAATTCCTCTGTCCCACGTCTGCTCTGTGTCCTGAAACAATTGCCTCCTCTGCCACTAACCTCTGCGTGTTGTCTGACATACTCTTTAAATTCAAATTCTGTGTCCCTGAGTAACAATTCTGTGTCCCTGAGTAACAATTCTGTGTCCCTGAGTAACAATTCTGTGTCCCTCAGTAACAATTCTGTGTCCCTCAGTAACAATTCTGTGTCCCTGAGTAACAATTCTGTGTCCCTGAGTAACAATTCTGTGTCCCTGAGTAACAATTCTGTGTCCCTGAGTAACAATTCTGTGTCTGTGTCCCTGAGTAACAATTCTGTGTCCCTCAGTAACAATTCTGTGTCCCTGAGTAACAATTCTGTGTGTCCCTGAGTAACAATTCTGTGTGTCCCTGAGTAACAATTCTGTGTCCCTCAGTAACAATTCTGTGTCTGTCCCTGAGTAACAATTCTGTGTCCCTGAGTAACAATTCTGTGTCCCTCAGTAACAATTCTGTGTCCCTGAGTAACAATTCTGTGTCCCTGAGTAACAATTCTGTGTCCCTGAGTAACAATTCTGTGTCCCTCAGTAACAATTCTGTGTCCCTGTCATTCTGTGTGTCCCTGAGTAACAATTCTGTGTCCCTCAGTAACAATTCTGTGTCCCTCAGTAACAATTCTGTGTCCCTCAGTAACAATTCTGTGTGTCCCTGAGTAACAATTCTGTGTCCCTGAGTAACAATTCTGTGTCCCTGAGTAACAATTCTGTGTCCCTCAGTAACAATTCTGTGTCCCTGAGTAACAATTCTGTGTCCCTGAGTAACAATTCTGTGTCCCCTGAGTAACAATTCTGTGTCCCTGAGTAACAATTCTGTGTCCCTGAGTAACAATTCTGTGTCCCTGAGTAACAATTCTGTGTCCCTCAGTAACAATTCTGTGTCCCTCAGTAGTGTCCCTCAGTAACAATTCTGTGTCCCTCAGTAACAATTCTGTGTCTGTCCCTGAGTAACAATTCTGTGTCCCTGAGTAAATTCTGTGTCCCTCAGTAACATTCTGTTCCCTGTGTCCCCTGAGTGTCCCTCAGTAACAATTCTGTGTCCCTGAGTAACAATTCTGTGTCCCTGTCCCTGAGTAACAATTCTGTGTCCCTGAGTAACAATTCTGTGTCCCTGAGTAACAATTCTGTGTCCCTCAGTAACAATTCTGTGTCCCTGAGTAACAATTCTGTGTCTGTCCCTGAGTAACAATTCTGTGTCCCTGAGTAACAATTCTGTGTCCCTCAGTAACAATTCTGTGTCCCCTCAGTAACAATTCTGTTCTGTGTCCCTCAGTAACAATTCTGTGTCTGTCCCTGAGTAACAATTCTGTGTCCCTGAGTAACAATTCTGTGTCTGTCCCTGAGTAACAATTCTGTGTCCCTGAGTAACAATTCTGTGTCCCTGAGTAACAATTCTGTGTCCCTCAGTAACAATTCTGCGTCCCTCAGTAACAATTCTGTGTGTCCCTGAGTAACAATTCTGTGTCCCTGATTAACAATTCTGTCTGTCCCTGAGTAACAATTCTGTGTCCCTGAATAACGGTTCTGTGTCCCTGAGTAACAATTCTGTGTCCCTAAGTAACGATTCTGTGTCCCTAAGGTAACGAATTCTGTGGCCCTAAAGTCTCTCTGGCCCTAACTCTGTCCCTAATACAGACAGGTCTGTCTCTCTTGAATGACCGCAGGCTAATGGGAGAATTGTAAGATGGCCGCAATTTATAGCTCCACCATTACACAGTGCTGGCTGGCTGGCTGCTGATTGCATTAATAATGCGATCACATGTCATGAATGAATGCATTATGGGTCAGCGCGCCTTGTCTGCGCGCCTTCCCAGAGATCCCCGCT